AGCAATCTGAGTCCGTCACTCCTCTTCTCCTCTTACATCGTTTTCCTTTCGCTACTGCGATAACTTAAGGTAGATTCACAGAGCCTATAAAAGCATCAAAATCCTCTTCGATTACCTTGTTAGGGTTTTGTCTTGTATTCGCCTCTGGATTCTTCTTCACTATGGTACGTGTTTTCTCCTTTGTTTACGGATCCACTTATCTCTGTATCTGAAGCCGGAACCTTTTGATGTCTTTGCTTTTTTGGGGTTTTTGGAATTTTCATAAACCAAACTCTCGTTTCAATAAGGTCCCTCAATTTTGAGATTCAGTGATTATCGGTCATTTTGTGGGTATTTCTAATCATGTGAATCCGTTTTGTGCAGCATAAGTTGAGTAGAAGCCACCGTGACAAACTTCAGCAGTTCGTGGCTATAACAGGAGCTAGGTAACTATGGATCTGTCTCACTCTTATCACTAGTTTTGTTGTGTTACATTAAGCAAAATTGGAACTAGTTGGTGTTGCAGTATTCTTGGGTTTGTTCATATATCTCAAAATTGCGTTTTTGGTGATATGTTAATACTGGGGGCAGTGAGAAGAGTGCTCTTCAGGCTCTCAAAGCAAGCGATTGGCACCTCGAAGCAGCGTTTGATGTGTTTTACAGCCAGCCCCAACCAAGAAGCAATGCTGATACAAGACGCTTGGAGGAGCTCTATAATAGATATAAAGGCAAGCTACTTGTTGTTACTCTTGAGTTCATCAAAGCTANNTTTAATATGNTTTTGTGTANCTTNTGNTTTTAAANTTGTCGTATTACATTNTGCAGACAAATACTCTGATATGATTCTAGCTGATGGTGTCTCGGTTCTCTGTAATGATCTTCAGGTATTTTATCTTCTTGAATGATGCTCAGAGTGATGTGGTTTATCTTACACAGCACTATTAAAAATTGACTTTTATTTTTCCTTCAGGTGGAACCCCAAGACATAGTCACGGTATGTTTATTCTGAAACCTTTTCCTACAACTTGCTTGTGTGCATATGTTTCTTGTTTTCGTCTTGGGCGACCAAAAAACACCTAATACGAGTTGAATATATTGTGAGAGAGTGACTTGAAAGGCTAAGAGTAACACAAATTGAGGTGGATGAGAATATTCTATTTCCATGGATTGAGAGTGGGGTTTAAAACCCATTTGTTTCTCACTGATTTTTTTGGGTTTTCTTATTCATCTTCTGGACATTTAGTTAAATGGTTACTTACTCCAATTGCAGTTGGTTCTTTCGTGGCATATGAATGCTGCCACAGCGTGTGAGTTTTCCAAGCAAGAATTTGTTAGCGGATTACAGGCATTAGGGTGAGTGAACTCTAGTCTTGATGCTGTTTATTTTCTGTAACGCTGTGGCCTGTTGTACGACCTTTTGGTGCAGAGTTTTAACTTGGACTTTATTTTCTGATGGCAGGGTAGATTCCATTGGGAAGTTGCAGGAGAAGTTGCCATTTATGCGTTCTGAGCTTAAAGATGAACGTAAGAAGAAAATTGAGTGGCCATTCTTTTCCTGTTTTGTGATTTGATTTATGGAAAGTCCCATGTTGGCTGACACATTCTTCTTGTGCATTTATCTTGTTCAGAAAAGTTCCATGAAATATATAACTTTGCTTTTGGGTGGGCGAAAGAGAAGGTAAAAAAAAAAAGCTTGGTCTTAGAGTAGTTTCTTTCAGGAGTTGTTTTATCTGTGCTTGTGATATTAGTCAATTGTAAAATGTTTCAGGGGCAGAAATCTCTTGCTTTAGACACGGCGATTGGGATGTGGCAGTTGCTCTTTGCAGAAAGAGAGTGGCCACTGGTAAATCACTGGTGTGATTTCTTGCAGGTAGACACTCTTGAGTTTAATTTTATCATGAAGACACAGTCTGTCATATTTGTTGCTTCTGATACAACTTTGTTTCCCAAACTCAGGATCGTCATAACAAGGCTATTTCTAAGGACACATGGGCACAGCTCCTGGAATTTGCAAGGGTAAGAGAAAAAGTAGATACAATTATCGTGTATCATTGAGCTTACATATCGATTGCAACTATGGCTTAGTGTTGATATATGGATTGAGACAGTATTTTCTGATGCAGACGGTCGACCCGGTGCTGTCGAATTACGATGCAGAAGGAGCATGGCCTTACCTCATTGATGAATTTGTCGAGTATTTGTATGACAAGGGCGTTGTTGAGAAGTAACCTGCCCACTGGGAGAAGTAATCAGCTCTATTTTACAATGTCCCCTTCTTCTTCTCATTATTTAATAGACTTGCTTCTCTCACAGATTTCTTTTGCGTTTCTTGTCAGAATCTTCAGATTGATGATTATTAAATAAGCTTTTCAACTTTCAGACTAATCCAGTTTTTAGCTTAATGAAACCAACAATTCCTCCTGTCTGTTGTTACCAGTAATCACGGCACGAACATACTCCATCCTTAAAATGGTGGAACCGATTCGTGTCTCTCACGACAATCTCTCTGCCTACAAGCTTTGAGATGAGCTTTGTAGCGGCGTGACAATTCACACAAGCTCTCAGATTCTTTGTGATTCTCAGTGTTGTCCCTTGGGGTGTACTTATAAGCCCATATGCAATCGCTATCCTCTCGCTGTGGCTGCACAGAGTCTCCTCGGCTTCTTCATCGTTGAGATCGTGTAGTGAAGCATCTTTGTACGCCACAAATCCACCTTCCTTCAGTTTACTCTCGATCCACTCTACTTCTCTTTCAATCTCTTCATATCTTGGATGTGACCTATCACCTACCCGAAAAGCCTCCAACTTTCCCCTTACTTCAACCCAGCTGCATCCAACGTCTTTGGTCAATCCTTTCTCCTTCATTCTCACTCGCACCTCTGTAACTCTGTCCCACAAACGTGCTGCAGCATACAGATTAGAGAGCTGCACATAGTGGCCTGTGTTGGATGGGTCTATTGAGAAAAGTTGTTGAGCTGCATATTCTCCTAGGCTCACGTGGCGATGCTTCTTGCACGCGCTTAGGAGAGCTCCCCAAACCGTTACACCAGGCTGGACCGGCATGCTTCTGATGACTTCATAAGCTTGATCCAGATGACCAGCACGCCCAAGAAGATCAATGACACATGCATAGTGTTGCTGTTGCAGATTTATCTTGTGATCCATCATCCGGTTGAAGAACCACCAGCCTTCTCTTACCAAGCCTGAATGGTTACATGCCATGAGAAGCCCCAAAAAAGTGACATCATTGGGAAGCACTCCACCACGCTCCATTGCACGGTACAGACTGATTGCTTCTCTTGCCAGCCCGTGCAATCCATATCCAACAATCATAGCACTCCACACCACAACATCCCTGTCAAGTGTTCGGTCAAAAACTGATCTTGCGCACTCCACACTTCCACATTTAGCAAACATATCGATTAGGGCGCTGCTAATGAAAACGTCATCTCTGTGGTCGCTCCTGCCTACATATTCATCCATCCAGCGGGCCTGTTCAAGAGAACCTACTTGAGCACAAGCCGAAATGGCAGATGTTATAGAGATGGTGTCAGGTCTGACATCTTTATTGATCATCTTATGGAACATATCAATAGCTTCCTTGGCATAACCGTTTTTCGCATAGCCAGAGATCATGGCGTTCCACAAAATCAAGTTGGGTGACTTCATTTTATCAAACAGAATCTTGGCAGCTGCGACTTTACCACATTTTGCATACATGGTGTTGAGAGAAATGAGCAAGTCAGGCTCTGTTTCAAGACCCATCTGCACTACAAAAGCGTGAATAGCTCTCCCTTGCTCCAAATCCTGCAAACATGTGAAAGCATTGAGGACGCTAACGAGAGCTACCCAGTCAGGCTTCACATCCATCTTCCTCATCTGACTGAAAATCTCGAGAGCCTCCACAGGCTCACCATTCTGAGCATAAGCTGAAATGATAGCCGTCCATGAGACTACCGTTCTCTCTGCCATTTGCAATCTCTCAAACACAGTTCTCGCGCGGTTCATACGCCCGCATTTTGCGTACAAGGCAATGAGACCGTTCTGAACAAACACATCCGCCTCAAATCCAAGCCTGAATACCTGAGCATGAACGAGTCGACCCATCTGAAGATGAGACAAACCGCTGCAAGCTTTCAGAAGATGAGGAAAAGTGAAAGAATCAGGAGAAACACGAGTGAGTTGCATCTTGGAATACATGAAAAGCGCATCTTGGAAGAGATTGTTTCTTGAATAACCCCTTATTATAGCATTCCAAGGGAATATCTGAGGGCGAGGTAAATCGTCGAACACTTGGCGTGCGAAACAAATGTCACCAAAGGAAGAGCTTGCGTGAATGAGCTTGGTGATCAAGAAACCACTAAACTGCAAACCCAAAACCAGTAAACGTGCGTGGATCTGCCTAAGCTGAGCTTTATGTGTAGAACCATCGATAAGCGAGGCGTAGAAAGAATCGGAATGGATTCCTGAATTGGCTGCACCAAAAATTTAAAAAAACAGATTTTTTTTCACTTGTGGTGGGTGATTTGGGATCAAATTCGACAAATGAAACTGCAAATTTGAGTAACAAGTGTTCTTACCGTGAAGAAAAGGAGAAGCAAGAAGAGATGCTTCCGACATTGTTATTCCTCTGTGTCGTCTTGACTACTTTTGTTAACTCTTCTTCCTAGTCTTCATCATTTCTCCATCATTTTAAAATTTTAGACAATAACACACTACTGTACTTTATATCAATTTTCGTAAGTCATTGTTTCTCATTAAACACTTAATATATATATATTATTAAAAGAAA